GAGCTGAGGGCCATCAGTCCCCCTGAGGGACACAGAGTGGTCACTGCTGCCCAGTGGCAGAGCAGGGAGGGGTCTCCTGGGACGCAGGTGCACCTAAGGCAGCTGTAGCCTTGGGAAACCTTGTGTCTTTAGGCCCCTAAGAGAGAGGGACTCACTCATGCTGCAAATATTGAGATCTGCGATGTGTCAGGCTCGGTTCAGGCCTTGGAGCTCAGTGGCCAAACAAGCAGGCCGAAGTTCTGCCCTCATGGAATACACACTAGTGCAAAGGAGAAGAGTGGCCAGGTGTGCTGGCCCATGCCTGTAATCCCAGAACTCAGGAGGCTGAGGCAGGAGGATTGCTGAAAGTTCAAGGCGAACCTGAACTACGTAACAAGACCCTGTCTCAAAATTTACAAAGGAAAAAGACAATTAATTATTAAATACCCAAATCAATGTGTGCATAATGTCAGGAAGGGGAAAGTAGCTGGGCAAACATAAAGCAAAGGGAGAAAAAGGGAAATTGGAGCAACTTGAGGGGTGCTCTTTCAGGAAAGGCCCTGGAAGGGGTGATATGAAGCACTGACTGGAAAAAGGGAGGGTGGAGCTGTGGGAAATAAGGGGGAAACACTCCAGGCAGAGGCACAGCATGTGCAAAGGCCTCAGGGCAGGAGCCTGGCCAGTGCTCAAGGAGTGACGAGGAGCAGAGTGCCCGGAGCAGATGAAAGGGAAAAGGAAAGTAGGAAGGAGAGCAGACACGGGGAGGTAAGGACTTTTCTCTTGGTACAGAGAATCGAACTCAGAACCATGCACTTGCAAGTGAGGTGTTTATACCACTGAGCTAAATCCCTGGCCCCGGGCCATTGGCTTTTGCTGCTGGTGTGAGTCGGTCCTGCACATGCACCTGTCATCCCAGCTGTTTGGGAGGCGGAGGCAGAGGCAGGAGGATCAGGAGGATCAGGAGTTGGAGTCCAGCTGGGCAGCATATCCGCTTTATCAAGGTCTCCAAAGAAAGAAAGAAAAAGGGCAAGCACCTGTCTCTCGGGCTCCGCCCGAGGGCAGCGGGCCAAGGCGGCAGCCAGGAAGGACGCTGACCTGCACCTGACCAGGACCTGCCAGGAGGCCCATGCAGAAGCTGTAACAGTTTTCCTGGCTTGCAAGTCCCACAGTGTCACTTCGCCCTGATACCCAGGGCCATCCCAGGTTTAATCCTAGAAGGTGAGCCCTGGCCAGGGGCACACATTGTGGGGCACGGTTACTGGAAAGGCTGTGGCTAGGGACAGCTGCCAGGACCCACTAGGAAAGCTTTGGCGACAGCAGCTCATGGAGGGCTGCGGTGTATGGACCACTCTTTGGGTTTCCTTCTCATTTTTGTGCTTCTTTGAGACGAGGTCTTGCTATGCAGTCCCAGCTGGCCTTGAACTCACCGTGTGGCCCAGTTTGGTATCAAATTCACACTGATCCTCCTGTCTCAGCCTCCTGAGGGTTGGGATTACAGGCACACATCACCACACCCTATTTGACTCACTTAATCCTCTTAGCAGCCCAGGAAGTTGAGATGCCTTGCTGGGTGCAGTGGGGTCAGACCGGAGAGTCTTCACTGAAGTCCTCAGCTCCAGCTCTGCACAGGCAGTCACAGCCCCACTGCCCTGGGAACCTTCAGCACCAAGTCTACACCACCACGCTGTGTGGACACAGATCTGAGGTGCGGGACTGCACTGAGCTCAGCAGCGGCAGTGTCCAGAGCCTGGATTTCAGCCGTGGGGTCTGGCGGGGACTAAGGGGTTGTACCCTGGGCTACACTCCGGGCTGCATATGGTGTGAGCCAAGGGCATGGTGCAAACCGGGATCCATAAGGGCAGGAGTGGGTGGCACTGTGCACTTGGCACCAGGCACCAGGGGATTTCCACCTGTGGCCTTCAGTGCCCCGTTCAACCCCCTGCAGTCCCAGGTCACAGCACAGCTAGGACGCGCACTGGGATTCCTGTGCCGGGCACCAGGCTCGTGTTTGTTGGTAGGAGCAGGGACTAGGGCCCTGGCATAGCAGAATCTGGGCTCTGTGCTAGGTTCTCTGTGACTTTAAGGTAGATGCTGAATCCCAGCTCCGACTTCTGATGAGGAATAGAAGGCTTGGTGTGGGCTTGGGTTTGCCTGGTTTTGTTGCCTGAAATTGAACCCCAAGCCTTTGCACTGGGCTATATCCCCAGCCCATAATTCTAAGACAGGCTTTTGATAGGCAGATAAATTGCCCAGGCCATGCTCAAATTTGTGATCCTCCTGCCTCAGCCTTCCAAAGTCCTGGAATTGCACAGGTCTGCACAACCACATTGAGCTTCCTGACTTTCTGAAATGTTTTTTCTTTTTCTTCTTTTCCTTCTCCCCTCTGGAGTCTTAAATCTGCAGTTGTTCCGGTTTGAGGACAGCCGCAAGCTGCTCCTGGCAGCCGAGCCTGGGTGGCGGACCTGTCACCTGGCTGGGAGCAGGAGCAGGTTGCTAACTTCTGCTGACACTGGCAGGGCCCGCCTTGCAGCCTGATCTTCATGGCAGCCACACTCTGTACAAATCTCTAATTGTTTAGTTTAAAGAATTGTGTTTTGACCGCGAGGGGATTTTGGCTGGAGCTCAAGAAGTGATAATGATATTTCTCTGCCAAGCCGTCTCCTTGGCTCACTGCGTGTTAACGCGCACTTTCAAGCCGCTCCAATTAACTGCCTCGCTCTGGGGAGGGCGGAGAGGGCTCTGGCAGGGGAGGGGCCGCTGGGAGAGCTGACAACCCCCCCTCCAGCTTATTAGCAAACAAATGGGGGTGGGAGATGACAAAGTTTTTGAAGACTGGCCTGCTTCCTCCCAGTGAAGGGGTGACTTTTGCTTTGGTGGGGGGACCAGATGGGCCTGAGAGGCACTGGGGATAAAGACCCCTGCTGGGTCCCCCTCCTCCCCAACTTCTGCAAGCTCTTGTCTTCTCTGTCCTTTCAGAGACAGGCTGGGTGGCTCAGACTAGGTCCTTTCCCCACACTGACCCCAGCCCTTCTCTTTATCAGGAACCCAAGGCTGCTCAACGGACTCTTAGCTAAGGTCTTGCTACGGGGATTCCCTGTCTCACCTCCTGAGGCTGCGACCCGGGTCACTGGTGAAGCCCTAATTAAAACTGTAATCTGTCATTTTTGAGACAAGAGCCTGGCTGTTGCCCAGGCTGGGCTCAAACTTGCCATCCTCCTGTCTCAGCCTTCCCCATCTGGCTAGGATTACCCAACTGGACCACTGATCTTTGTTTAAAAGGGGCTTGAGCCCTCTCCCAGGCCTCCGGCTCCCCAGGGCTTTGCAATCCCTACCTCCCTAAGAGGGAGGCGTCACTCAGGGCTGGTGTTAGGGGCTGTAATCAATAGGCAGAGTCAGGAAGGCCTCCAGCAGGCCCTAGCAAGAAGCCTTCCTGGGCAGCATCCGGAACCCCAGACTGACCCCTCCCGCCCCCTCCAGGCCGCTCTGCAGGTTGCACAGCTTCGTGTGGTGAGAGTGGAGGGTCTTGGCTGGGGCCAGAGCGTGGACGTCTGTGCAGAAGGTGGTGATGGCTAACGGGGCATTTTTTCCCCCACTGCCCCCTGGGCTGGGCTTGCCGGACCCGCCGCAGCCCTCGCTCACAGCGACCCCTGCCGGCCATGCGGTTCCCGCTGCCTCCTGCAGGAAGCCTGCCGGGGTGCCCAGCAGACGGTCCTGAGGTCACTGTAGCTCCGAAGGCTGTGATTTTTAGAGACTGTGAAAGCGAGGTTCCCGGAAGTGAAGCGACTTGCTCAAGGCCACCCAGGGAAGAGCAGTCAGGCAAGGTGGTGACCAGGGCCTCCCTGTGCCCGCGGATTTTGGAAGCAGAGAAGCACCAAGGTGATCTTTGGGGTGGAACGGTGCCACACACTAGCCTGTCCTTGCCCCCTACCCAAGGTGGTGAGTGGTCTCCACTGCTGACCTCCAGGCTGGGCTGGGACTAGGGCCTGAGATGTGGGCGCCCCAGCGTGGCCGAAGGTGTGACACTGCCTCCCCTCCCCTTCCCTCCTGCTATATCCACTCCAGGGCCCCCCAAGGGGAGGCTGACAGCCAATGAATGTGTGAAGGGGTCCCTTCCTGTTCCCCTCGATGGCAGTGTGGGGTGAGGCTGGGGAGGGCCAGAGGGAAGGCACTAGGCTGTAGATGTCACATGGTCCCCCGAGGCCCAACACTGGCTGTACCCGCTTTTCCCCTTCATTGGACCCTCCTTTCTCCCATGGATGGATGGGACCACCTCCCCAGGCTGATCCTCTTAGCCTGTGTGGGGGCACCCAGAGACCCTGTCCTAGCCCTCCCAGCCCTTGGCCCTAGTGTACCTGCCAGGTGGCAGCAGCAGGCCAGGGATGCAGTTTGGGGGTGGCGGTGGGCAACCCCTTCTCTGTCCCAGAGCACAGCAGTGTAGCATGCTAGAGGAGATGGAGGCCCCCGACTTTGGGAGGCTGACACCCACCCCACTCACAGCACTTCCCTGAGCATGCCAGGAACTCTAAGCCCCACTGCTTCTGGAGTAGGAGCCTGGCCTCGCCTGCTGGGGTGATGGGGGGTGGTTCTCGGGATGACCTCACAAGTTACTGTCCAGGCCCCGAGTGGTGGCGAAGGGCACTGTGCCTGCCACACAGTAGATGTTTTGGGCAATGCTGGTTAGTGAGCAGCTGGAGTGCAGGCTATGGGCATGTGACGGACATCGGGAGGGAGGGAGAGGGGTTTAACAGGGGTGGGGGAGCCCCAGGATGAGCCCCAGAGTGAGCCAAGGACCAAGGGGCCCACAGCGCCTTTTCTAAATTTGAGTCTCCTCAGTCTTTGTTTTTGGTGGTCCTGGGAATCGAACTCAGGACCTGGCACTTGCCAGGTAGGTGTGCCGCTGAGCTGTATCCTCAGCCTTTGGGAGCTGCTGGGAAGAACTGAAATGAGGCGTCCGTCTGGGAGTGCCTGGAATGTTGCCTGCCCCCTTTTTTTGGGACAGAGGAAAGTGCCATGGCTATTGCTGGCCTAACAAAAATATTTATTTTGGAGAAAGGAACTATCCTGGGCTCTGGGGCTGCAGGAGGCCCCTACTGGCAGGGGCACCTGGTGACCTCTGAGCTCGTGGTGCAGGTCGGGGAAATGGGAGGCCACAGCGTGCCGGGGATCAGCTGCGGCAGGCCCTGGGAAGCTGTGGGCTTGCAGGGGAGGCCTGGGGCCTGGCCTTGGGGTCGTCCGTGGGAAGCCGACCAGGGCTGGTTCTCCAAAAGGATGGATGTCAAGGAGGGCAGGGTCTGAAAGGTGCGGGGGGCCTGGGGTGGTGGAGGTCTTTGTCCCCAGCTTGGTCCCCAGGCTGCACTCACCGGGGCAGGGCCCATGGAGGGGTGGCAGGGAGAAATCTTTCCACTTTGATGCCCACGGACTGGAGCACAAGTCAGGACAGGCCGAGCCCCCACGCAGGCTCCCGCCACCCAGGTCCTTGAAGCAGCAGGAGCGCTTGGGGAAGAACAGGATCATCACCAGGACAGCCCCAGGGGTGGCCCAGGTAGAGATGGACAGGGTGGGGTGGTGGGAGGGATGGCGAGAGACAAGGCAGGGAGACCAGGAGCCAGTGGCAGGGCAGAGGCAAGGGTGACACGTGGCCACGCACACCCTTCTCCTTCCCCCGGAAGTCCTCCGACGCTGAGATGGAGCCAGGTTTGGAGATGAAGTTCACTCACCTTTCCTTTAAAAAATACAGAGGGGGGCCCTCAGACCACTGGGACCAAAAGCATGTCCTCTGGCAGGGGGAGGGGCCAGGACCCCACCTCCTCCTGTCCCCCAGCACCAGCCTTCCTGAGCCAAGATTCTGCGTCAGATCTGACTGTTCCAGGTGGTCGCAATGCTGTGCCGCACACCGAAGGAACACTATGCCAGCCCCATGCCCACCTGCTGAAGCTTCTGCCAGTTATGCAAAGCCTGCCCAGGGCCCAGGTTACTCTTCACCTGGGCACTTTCCCTGCTCAGGTCCCCTTTGCTCCTCACTCCTGTCTGGTGGCCTGGCCCACATAGTTTGTTCTGGCTCCAGAATCCTCACAGTGGGGTGGCCGGCTTTGTTGTCTGAGTGTCCTGTGTACCTGTCTAACCAGTATTTGCTTCAACCTGGGACTGGGCTCATCTCTGATTAGTTTGCCTTTGACAGGGAGTTGCACCCAATCCTACCCTCCTTGGGGCTGCAGGGGAGGAGACCTTCTCTGTTCTGTGAGGCCATGAGCTCGTAGGACCAGCCATTCCTCCAAGCTCACTGTGACATCACAGTGTCTTCAGCTAACTCTATGCCCAAGCCTCTTTGCAGAGATGGTCACGTGGGCAGAGCCCTAAGATCCTCTGGAGACGTCCTCTCTTCTGTGGGGGGCGAAGCAGTTACCTACACCTTAATTCCCATGGTGCTCTAGGGGGGTGTTAGGCCTTGAATTCAAGCGGGAGGAGCAGGAAGGGGCTCAAACCCCAAGTCCATGCTCAGCAGTGGCTCACTGTGCAGTGGGAAGGGGATCTCCCATGCGGGAATCTGAAGCTAGGAAGCCCAGGACGAGGGGAGCCCTCAGGTGACCACTGGGCAGTGACACTTCCCACAATGCTGTCCTGCCTTGGTTTGTTTGTGACAGGCTGGCCTCAAACTTGTGAGGAGCCTCCTGGGTCAGCCTCCTGAGGCTTGGGATTATAGGCTTGTGCCCCCACCAGGCCTCTGTAATTGTATACTGAGTACCCCCAAGTGCCTTCCCTGGAAGACAATTGCCAGCACCCCGTTGAGTAAAATCACCCGTTTCCTTCACTCTGACCTTTCCCCCATGTGAGCCACTTACATCATGGAATCACACTACTGCACCATTAAATCACAGGGGCAAACTGAGGCCCCGGAGAGGCCTCTTCTATCCTCAGTAAGCCCCACTCTGCCCCCAGCCAGCTATCACCCACCTGGCCTAGCTGAGGGTCTCTCCTCCTCCTCCGCTGATGTCTGACAGAATTTGCACTCAGAGATCCATGAGAAACGTCCATGGCTGTGTTTTTACCTCGGTGTGGTGGGAATTGAGTTCTGAGCTGGAAGCAACGCATCCCCAGGCCATGGGCTCCCCTGTCCAGTACCCAAGGCTCCAGCAGGGACTCCTCATCTTCCTCTGCAGGCAGGGATTGGAAGTGGGGCTGTGGGGAGGGAGGAGAGAGTGTTCTTACAGTTCCTCGGCCTCCAGGAGCAGGCCCCAGCTGCCCTTGGGCCCCAGCTCCAGCTCCCTGCAGCTCCAGCCTCCTCTTCCCCACGCCTGCAGGCCTGGTGGCTGGCTCTGCAGCTGGGCCATCTTGGGTCCGCAGGAACTCACCTGGCACCTTAGGCAGGCTTTTCCAGGCCTCAGTTTGCCCCTGTGATTTAATGGTATAGTAGTGTGATTCCATGATGTAAGTGGCTCACACGGCGGGGGGGGGGGGATTTTACTCCGCTGGGTGCTGGCAGTTGTCTTCCAGGGAAGGCACTTGGGGGTACTCAGTATACAACTACAGAGGCCGGGCGGGGGGGGGGGCACAAGCCTGTAATCCCAAGCCTCGGGAGGCTGACGCAGGAGGCTCCTCACAAGTTTGAGGGCAGCCTGTCACAAACCAAAAAACAATTACGGGGACAAGCAGAGGACCGAGTTCTGACAGCTGCAGGAGTCTGAGGACACATTCAGTCCGGCCCCTTTCAGGGCTTAGCCCTGTTTACAGAAATGGGAATTTGCATGATGAAAATAACCCCAGCCGGACTGTGATTTTACTGCGCTTGGCACGGGACTCGGAAAAAGCGGCTGCATAGCCAATTACTGGAATTTTAAAACACAAATAATATTTTACGGGATCAGTGGGCTGGCGCAGGGCCGCCGCACCCGGCGTGGCTCCTCTGCCCACAAACAGGCTCTGATTGTGCGACGGGCAGTGAGCCGGGCCGGGGACGTGGGGTTCCCCCCCGCGGGGCGCGCGCCCGGGTCGCTGCCCGGGCAGGTGCAGCGCGGGTCGAGCCATCCCCTCGCCCGGCCGGCAGGGGGTGCCCGCGAGGCCTGGGCCTGCGGGGTCGCGCTCACCTGCAGCGCCGCCTGGAAGCGCCTGGCGGAGCTCCCCGGCCCCCGGCCGCCCGCTGCGCCTGGCTGGCTCCCTGCGCCCTTGGCACCGCCGCGCCGCCTCCGGAAGGCCGGCTTCCCGGAACGGCACGGCCTGAGGGCGGCGGGGAGGCTCCCAGCGCCCGCGCCGCCTTCCCCGCCCGCGCCGCACCCAGAGCGCACAGCCAGGGACCATTGTCCCGACCGCAGTCCCCACGTCTCAACGCCCCATGACCCCTAAGCCCTGGACCTCCACGCTACCTGCAGACCCCTGGGCTCCCACGTCCGTGTGGGCCCCGGGATCCTCCCGACTGCGGGTCTCCCCCAGACCACCAAGACCTGGCCCCTGGGACCCCACGCCCTCACTCTCGGACCTCAGATCCCCACGCTTCGGGACGGCCCCCCTCGCCCCAGGACCCCCCAGCGTGGCCGGCGCGCGCGGGGTTAAGCCGCGGCAGGTGTGAGCCGCCAGATGCCCAGCCCGGCCCCTACCCCGCCCCCCCATCCCAAATAAAAGTGCTATTGTTGCGGGCTTTTCCCCGCCCCCGCGCGCCTCGCCACCTGGAGCGGAGCCTGGTCCCCTCTTCACCTGCCCCGGGGCCGAAGGGGGAGGGGAAGGGGCCTCCAGCAGGGAATTCCGCGCCTGGCGCCCCTCCCCCGTACCCCCTCGCTGACCCTGGGCCGGCCAGGCGCCACCGCCTAGGAGAGGTGGGGGGCCTCCCTTCTGGCCTCCCCTGCGCCCTTCTTGGACTTCCATCCTCAGGCTGGAGACACGGCGGGTTCATCACGGCGGGAGTGGGGGGGTCACAGGGCGCACGGGACAGTGCCCGGCTCTCTGGTACGCGTCAGTTGGCTGCTGTTGCTTTCTAAAAAAATTATTTGTCGAGCCACAAGACAAGACGGACAGGAAGCTGAGGCTCGGAGAGGTGACCTGTGAGCTCGCGCACAGGCTGCTGAATATGGTGGCTTGGCACAGAATTGAAGTCCCCCTCTCCCCCGGTCCCGCGGGGGGGCTCATTTGATGGACAAGGAGTGCGGGACCCCAGAGACTAGGAGCTTGGCACTGCCTGCGGCTCTCAGGTGACCCCTGCCCCCGACGTCTTCGTTCTTAAATCGAGGGGGCAGACTTTTTTTTCCGGAGGCTTCACAATTCTCCTGCTGATTCCGGGAACTCCAAAGACCAATGCGCCCCGAGTCCGGGGACCTGGGCTGGGCCTGCGTGTGTGTGTCCCGGGGAGGAAAAGCTTCCCCAAACCCTCCTTCCCCGCCAGCCCTCCCCGCCCGGCCTCCATCCCTCCCGCAGGCCCCCGGGAGGCTGAACTGCAAGGTTAAGTAAATATCTGACGGTGGCTCAGGGAAGCCAGTCAAGACCGTCGCCGGGAGAGGAAACCCAGACCTCGATCCGCCCCTCGGCCGGGCAGCCCCCTCCGCGCACGCGCAGGACTGCAGGGCCCCTGGGGCCTTGCCCGGGGTCCCGAGATAGCCCGTCCCCCTCCTGCCGCCTCCCCCATCCCGGCTCCCGGCGGGCGGGCGCGCAGGGTTACCGTATTTCCTCTCTCTTGCGCCCTATCTTTTGAGCGCAGCATTGAACTTCTCCAACCTGGGGACGGAACACAGTCTGCAGATCTGAGACCGAGGGTTGTTTTCTTAGCTCTCCCATGAGTCTCTCTTGCCCTGCACACCCGGAAACCCACGTTTGCATCTTAATATTTTGGCCTCAAACTCAGTGCTCACCCGCAATTCCCACCTCTTCTCCCTGGACCACACCTGCCAGTCCTGTTGCTCCCAGAAAAGAGCAACTTTCCCTGTCCTCTTACTCAGGAGGAAGCTCTTGAGGTTGTTCTCCAGGCTTCTCTGTCTTTCACCACTCGCCCCAGTGCCGTAGCAAATCTTGTTTATTTTGCCTTCAAACATGCCCAGACTCTGCTACTCACTGCTCCCCGCTTCGCTCCCCGAAATACTGCAGCACCTCCCCTGTGCCTCTGCCTCCCAGAAGCATTTAATTCCTTGTCTGTCTGCCCTCGGAGGTTGCAGGTGCTAAGGGCACAGAGGCTGCAGGAAAAGACTCAGGCCTTGGAAGACCTCTCCACCCCGCCAGGCACTCAGAAGGTGTCTGCTAGAGGAAACAGTTCGTCACACCTGCTGGACCTTGCACTGTGAAATTTGTGGTAAGGCATGAGGTTGTGGCTCCAGGGGAGAGGGAAGGCCCAGGGGAGCTGAGGTGTTGTTTGGCTTTGTGCCCTGGGGGCCAGCCCAAGGCAGAGAGGTCTTATCCCAGGGAAACCGACCTACTGCACAGGGCCTACCCACGCATCCATCCACCCATCCATCCACCACCCATCCATCCACCTATCCACCCACCTACCCATCTACCCCCAATCCACCCACCCATCTACCTACCCATCCATCCACCCATCTGTTCCCCCACCCACTCATCCATCCATTCACCCATCTACCCCCAAACCACCCACCCATCCACCCCAATCCATTCATTATTCCCCTGCCATCCATCCCCCTGCTCGTCCTCCCACCCATGCCCCACTCACCCTCAACCCCAATCCACCCACCAAACTACCTACCCATCCATCCACCCATCCATCTACCCATCCATCCACTCACCCATTCACTCATCTTCCCCGTTCAACCTATCCACCCACCTGTCCACCCCAATTCACCCACCAATTTACTCATCCATTCATTAACTTATCCATATGCATGCGTGCATGCATGCATGCATCCGTCCATCCATCCATCCATCCATCCATCCATCCATCCATTCATTCATGCATCATCCAGGAAGTGTCTTTAAGATCCCTGATGTGCCCAGCCTGGGTGTGGCCTTGGAATAGGCCAAGACATGCGGAGTAAGGCCAGGGCCAGCAGTCAGGAGATGGCCGTCAGCAGGCCTGCCCTGGGTTGGCTTTGTGACCCTGTCCACGAGCCTCAATTCTCCCAACTGCAGAGGACCGACAATCTCTCCCTGCATGCTTCATGAATTAGAGCTTCATAGGAGGCAGCCCCACTAGACACCCTCAGAAGTGTCTGACAAGGGCCCAGAGTTAACACATGAAGGAAGGGCTCCCCAGGCCCCTGCCCTTGTGTTTCACTCTTGGTCTCTGGGCACAGGTGGGGCCCCATGGGACTGGCAGGCTTCCAACCTTCCCAAGTTGGCTTCCTTCCTGTCCCTGCATCCCAGTGAGGGCTCCCCCTCGTGGCGCTGCCCAGACTAACAGCTCTCAGGGCTTTGAGGGAGAAAACTGTTGTGGACCAGAAAAAGGAAGGGCAGGACAGGAGTGTGAGGTTTGGGAAAACAGCAGGAAATCCTCAGACAGAAAGCCAGGCTGGAAGGGGCTGGATGGGGCCGGGACTTCCCACCCCATGTCTTAGAGGCAACGACTGAGGTTCAGGAAGAGAGAGTTAGGGGTAGACCGAGACATAGGTGGCTACACTTGGCACTGCTGGCCCTTGCTCCACGATTCAAGCGTCACTTGCTCTGTGCAGGCCAGCGATGCAGATCCCAGATTCCCTGCTCACCAGGTAGCGCTGCCTGTCTGGAAACTGCCTGCTGGGGTTTTGTTGGAGATAGGATCTTGCTATGTAGTTAGGCTGGCCTCACACTCACCGAGATCTTCCTGCCTCAGCCTCCAAGTACTGGGATTACAAACATGTGCCACCATGTCCAGCGACTATAGCCTTGTATTTACAGAGCTGGTTTAGGGGAAGCTTTTCCCAGCCTGTTATCTGCTATGCCAGGGTGATCTCCCCAGGGTGCCTTGGGTCCTGTAGCCTGGGCCCTGGTTCTGTGGTCAAGGCTGGGGGAGGTTACGGCACACAGCAGTGAGGTGGGAGGAGGGCATGGGGTGGCCTGGCTGCAGCTGAGAAGCTCCCACATGGCCTTCTCTCCCGCAGGCTGGTGGAAGTCCAGGATTCTGCTCCCCAGTGAGCTTGAGGGCCCCTGGGGAAATGTACTGGTGCTGTCCAGGGGCCAGCAGAGGAGCCAGGGCCATCCCCTTGATACAGCAGCGGGTGCCCAGCAGGGAGGGGAGGTTGTGAACTGCAGGAACAGCCCTGGGCTCTGGGCTGCAGTGTGCACCATGAGACCCTGCCCAGTACAGAGCAAGGGGCAGCACCTCGGGCCCTGAGCCAGGCTGCCCACGTTCACTGCCAGCTTCCACCTGATAGATCTGTGACGCTGACTTTACCTTCTGTCCTCCAATGCTTCTTTCTTTTATTTCTTTTCCTTTCCTCAGTGCTGGGTATTAAACCCAGGGTCTCGTACATGTTGGGTAAGTGTCTACCACTAAGCTACATCCCCAGCCCTTTTAACTTAATTTTTAAAATTTTGATACAGGGTCTTGCTAAGTTGCTTATACTGACCTGAACTTGAGGCTTTCCTGCCTCAGCTTCCCGAATAGCTTGGATTACAGGCATGCAGCCTGTGCCTGGCTTGAGCCTTTTTTTCTTATCAGTGAAGTGGGGCATAATGGTACCTACTCAGAGATGTTGAAAGCATTAAGAAAAAGAAACAGCTAACTCAGGAAAACACCAGATGCATAGTAAGTGCTCAATAAACAGCACTGAGTGTGAGGAAGGCCCCTTTTGTGTGAGTTGCATGTGTTTACAGACTAGAGCATTTGAGTCTTGGAATCCTAAAATCTCTATAGCTCCTATATTGTTCTGTGGCTTTGGGGACTGAAGCCTGGGAAATTCATGCTGGCTGGGGGACCCCAAGGCCAAAGCTTGTGGCTCACATCTTGGTGCCCAAGGGTATCTTGGGACAAGTTGCAGGATCCTGAGGTCCTGGTTTTTCGCTTATAGCCTGCTGTTTGCATTGGGTTTGGGGGTGGAGCAGGCAGGGAGAGCTGTTTGTCCACCATGTTTATCAAGCTGCACTGAATTACCACTAAATGCCAAGATCTGGCTGCTGGCGATTGTCTCAATCATTTGGGGGCTGACAAGCAGGGGAGGGAGGGGCCATGGGAGCGGGAGGGAGAATGTCCCTGTAATTCTTCAGTCTGAGGTACATTAAGAGGCCATAAGCCATGTCGAGAGCTTGAATTACATTAGAGAGATTATCCTGTTACAGTTCATAATCCTGGATAATATACCGTCTTGGAGCACACCTGCCTGGGATAAATCTCACCTGTAATGGTCTGACCCTGGGGAGCAAGGTTGCTGGCAGGACCAACAGAGCGGACATGGCCTGGAGAGAGGCACCTGGGAGCCCCATTGTGGTCCTGAGTCATCTCCAAGCCCTGACCTGTGCCTTGGCCCAGACAGAGATGGAGCTGGGGGCCTTAAACTTCTCCATCGCCTTGCAAGAGGCCTGACTTCCATGCTCCAACCCTGCCTCCTGCTCCCTAGTGACAGCTGACATCTGTCTCTGTCACTGCCTCCAGACTCCTCTCTCTGAACGCCTTCCCCAACCCTTCACACCCATCCAGCACGGCTTTCCGGTTGCTGAGACAAAATACTCAAAGAAAGAGCGATTTTTTTTGACTTGTGGTTTTCAGAGGGTTCAGTCCGTGGTCAGCTGGCTTCAAGACAGGAAGGGCCTGGTGGGGGACAGCTGCTTACTCCACAGCAGCCAGGGGCCAGGAACAAGGACACACCCTTCCAGGTCACATCCTTGGGGACCCACCCCTTCCAACTAGGCCCTACCTCTGAATGTGAGATTTTTGGGGGACATTTCAGATCTAAACCATAACCCAGGGATGCCTCTAAGAAGCCACATTGATGTCTGGGATCTGAGAGCTC